CTCCAAGCTTAAAAAAAAAAGTGAGGAAAGGAATATAGATCTTCCATTTCTAGTTAATTTATTTTTTCATTTTCTGTCACTCAAAACACTACACTTTCTGGAGAACAGCTCAATTCTGTGCAATTACTTTTACATCAATAAAAGCATTTGTAGTATTTTTTCATTTTATATTATGTGGCAGAACAAGATTTAGAACAGACAGTTTAATACAACACCTGAAGTCTTAAGTGACTGATAGGAAAAACCTTATATGAAAGAAGTATAACTCACTTCTCACTACTCTGTTAAGTTTTAGTAGTTTACATTACTTTCCCATGGGATTTTTTCAGTCATTTATAGTTCATTGCTTCATATGGCTATAGAATCCCTGCTGTGTTAAAAAATGCCAAGTAAAATTATATCTCATTCACTGCTTTATGCTATACCTTCTTTTGTTCAGATCCAATTAGTGAAAGCTTGTTCTTCATTTATCATACTTTTAGCTGATTATGTTAGGCATTACAATAGTTCTCTAGCTTTCCTTGACAATGTTTGCACCATCAGTGTTACATTTATGGTTGAGGAGGCTCTTTCATCTTAACCCTCTATTCCAACCAGTTCAGGGGGAAAAGTACATATGATTACTCTTGCTCAGACAAAACTTCTTTGCTTGTTTTCTCATATCAAAAATAATTCCGCCAGATGTTTTAATTCAAAAAAAATCTGAATTTTACTGGTCCTTCCCCACTTTACCTATTCAAGTGTAAAGAACCAGTGTTTTGAAAGCCGAACACTGCAGCTAAAAAAACCAACAAAACTCAGCATTTTGAACAGTATACAACTTTTTTTCTCTGCTTTCCCCAAAATAACAGATGCAATCAAAGAGTATTAGCCACTATTTTCAAGAACCTGAAAGCATCCATTATGATCTATTTTATTCAGTACCACATAAGCAACTGTAATGCTTTATGGGGATCTCAGCAGCCATTTTGTCAGGCCGTTTTTCCCACCAGTTCACACACCCTCCCACCTCCACAAAACTAAGTGCAATTCAATCCCATTTAACACCATTTCCAGGTATCTGTAAATTTGCATTAATACAGAAGCATCCAAAGGTCTCTAAAGTCATCTATCTCATTTTAAGTTTTGTTAATGTTCTCTTTCCTGTCACCATAGCAATATTAACATATAAAAATCCTTCAGGTCTTTGGTCATTTTTAACATTAATAGCACAAAACAGTATATTTTGTTCTTTGTATTCTCCCTCTTCAGGTAAGCTTTATTTAGTTCTCATCAGGTTGTTCCATTTTTGCCACATTCCCAGTTTATTACAGTCCTCTCTGCTGCTTCCTCCTCATAACACCAAAGCTTAAATTCCTTTAAATCAAAATTCCTTTGTGCTCTTACAGTTTAGTTACTAGTTTCATCTATTAATGGTAAGTATGTCCAGATTGATATGCTCTAACAGCATACTCAAGACATTTGCCATGGTGCTCCACAGAAACTAAGGGTGAAGAACAAGAAAAAGCTGTTTCATGAAAGCTTATATGCATTTTGTTTATTCCCACCACCTCTATTCAGCACTGGAAATTCCACAATTTCAGTAATCTGAAAATTTAAAGAAAAAAAAAAAGAAAAATCAAATATTCAACCAAAAGAAATCAAAAATAAAGCTCTAGGATAAGATAACTCAAAAATCTTGTAGTACTTTCATTCAAAGAGAATTATTTTAAGACTGTGTATACAATTCCTATACAAACAGTGAAAATGCCTCCTTGAATCATTTATGCATATCATTAGATAAGGAATAAATTAGAATCTATCACTGAAGAGCTTGAATTGCTAAATACCTTGTGATACCTGTTTTCTTTGTCACCTTAAATATCTAGTGAGCATGCTGAAGGAACTTTGCTTCTGTTCAATTTCAGTTGTGTTTTCAAACAGTATGACAAAACCAGAGAGTCCGCAACAGACTGACTGCACTGCCCTCCTTTTACAGTTATATTGGTTACAATTCATTCATAAAGAGTATCAGCCTACCTGCTTTTCAGTGAGTAGCAATACAGATGACAAGTATTGTAATAAGGGGTTCTGACTACATCTCAAAGGTTACTCCAAGTTCTAAGCATAAAATTTATCTACTGTAGCTAGTGCTACTTTTAAACATGTTAATAAAAAACTATTTTTGTAAGATATCCCTACCTACTTGGGTTACTTAAAACCCAGTCCCCCTATTTTCAGTCGAGACAAACAGTGTTAAGATGGGCACCTAGAAATAGCTGTAAAGACATGCAGTTGAACTGTCTTTGGTTCAATGACCATCACTATCAGGCTAGCTGCCTATCATACTCATTGCTTTTGCAATAGAAGCCATGAAGGAGTGAGATATCCTGTCAAGCACAAAATCAAAAGAATACTAACAACTCTCTTGCAGCATCACATCACTAAGCAAACACATTTTCCCTCGTTCCATGAGGACAGAGGTTCCTTTGGCAGGTTACATCAGCTCCTGAGTATGACTTCAGAATGTTTGACATTTTGCTATGACTGGTACAACCAGGAAGGATGCTGTTGATGAAACACTGGACAGAATTATGGACAACTATTGTTGTTGACTTTATTGCAAGTAACAGAGTAAAAGAATTCAGCCTGTGGACTCATCTATCAAGGTCATCCAAAACGACAATCACACGCATCACTGCAATGGGCCAGGACATTCCCATCATGAAAAACTAGAAGTACCCAAGTCATTAAAACAGACAACATTAAGTAAACTCTTTCTCAGTGCAAGCACACAAGGCAGTGACTGAAGGATCTATGGTAGACATAAACAACATGTCCAATTAGACCCAAAAAACTAGTTTGGACTTCATACCACTACCTTAAGTACATAGAATAGTTTTTCAAGTAGCCTTCCTCTCATTTTCCTTTAAATACACCTGAAGCTTCTTCAATGCACACAGCTAATGCTTAACCTCATACAGATAAGTTTGGCCAGCCTTTAGGTAAGGCTCCAGAGCTAAGCAGACACTACATCACCCTTACAGCATTTGTTAGAGCCTCATCTCTTGTCCATAAACTCAAAATGGCAGCATCCCCTCTAACATACAATGTTATCTTTATGAACTACCATGAGTATACCAATGCATTTCTGAGATACCAGCTTGGATTTTTTTTTTCTCTTGGGAACTATTACAAATTAAAGACCCTATTTGTATTTTAAAGCTAAGACAGCACTGTAGATCAAAGCAGCATAGATATATTTTCAATTTCTTTTTTGCAATGCACTATTTGTACACCCTTCCCCCTAAGGGCATGAGTTGTACTTTTTCATGCCATTCTTACTCTTATTGTGCTCTTCAATCTTGGTTTATACTTAATGCTTTCAGATCTTGTCACAATCTCCAGTCCATAGCAGAATCCATACAATCAACAGACACACTGGAGAGAACACCAATTCATTTTCTCAAGTCTATTATGGACTGTTGAAAGAACATGTGGGGGTTTTTAAAGAGCTTTTTAAGTTTAGTTTCAGGATGAATTCATGCCAGTGAAAAGGCTATGCAGTGCTGCTAAACAGTGAATCCATTTATCCTAACAGCAGATACTATATATATAAGATGGAGTTCAAGTACCCATCAGCATGCTTCAGTTTTACTAGGGGAATCACAGATCATACAGAGTAGTTTGTATTCATATTCACATAACCCTTGGCTTCCAGAAGAATTAGAATGTATCATGATGTCTGACATCCACCCATGAAGAACTCATTTCACAGCCCACTGAGCACCCACAAGCTACTACATTACCAGTTATGGCTACCAGTTGAAATCCAGACCAAGTGTACTTGCCATACACCTCAAAGAAAGAAATACATGGCATAAAAATCCATCAGTAGAGCATTTCAGAAAGTCTCATTTCAGTCCTTGCTCAATCTACAGCCTATTCATACAAGCTGAGCTGGTCATGTAGTAATAGAACCACAAAGGAACTCAGACAAAAGCTACGTCAAAGTCCAAAACTCCCAACAGCTCCTACCGTTCATTTAACTCTGAAAACACCTAAGTTCTAACTACTTTCAGATTTCATGAACCATGTCTGTTTTTCTAATGTTGAGTAACTCACCACTTATATTCACAAGTCCTGTCCTGCACAAAATACACTTTTTTTTTCCTGGTAGCTTGACTGAGTGACTTCTTATTAAATCATAATACAGGAGTTTAACTCCCCTCCAGATTTCAACAAACTTTCCTGGGACATGGGGGCATCCATGGTCATTTCTCCTGTAGCAGTTCTTGCAGGCAAGGAACAATACTGTGTTCTCTCTAGTCAACAAGAATATGCAAGTATGACTACAATTGCTTTTACACCACACAAGAAATTATGCTGTTGTTGTCATGAATGATAATGAAGAGACTACAAAACCTGAAAATGGGCAATACAGGTACCATACTTGTTTAAAAAGCCATTTTACCACCTTTCTGCTATGCTGCTGAATACTGAAGGCACATCAATAGCCTCATCGAATGGAACAGCTCCATTAAGCCTGTTTAGCATACCTGGTACAAGGGGACATTTCTCTGGAAATTGCAAAGTAATGAAAGATTTACCAGACACAGGAAAAACTTACACTAAGCTCTACACCTTCTTCTAGGATCCACTCTTCATTGCCTTTTTGTGCATATTAGCAAAACAAAATCTAGGTTTCACTGCTATTCTCACACTTGTTGCCCACATCTACCTGTGTGCATATGTATCTAGCTTAATCTACACAAAGAGAAAGGTAGCATTTACACAAACACAGAAGAGTTCACAGAAAAAAAATGCTTAATACTTATCCAATCTTTCCTCCACCTAGCTATCTCCACACACTTCAAGAACACAGAGGAAAAGGACATATACAAAGATACCTCAGAATTGCCAACATGACCACAACAATAAATCAATAAGACTGCATAACAGCTACAAGTCTTGCTGAATTAATAAAATCTCATCTACCACTTGAATTAAGTAGTACTCACAGCATTGGCGTCGACATCACTGTGTATGGCAACTGTTTTAATCCCCATCTTCTTACATGTTTTGATGACCTACCACACAAGAAGTGACAATTACCAATATTTAAATACCAATACTTGTAGAATTAAATATTAAAAACATGAAAATGTTACATACTTACTCGGCATGCAATCTCTCCTCTGTTGGCAATAAGCAGTTTTTCAAAAGTCTGAAGGGAAAAGAACAATAAGCATATTGAGAAATAAGCAATACAAGTTTTTCTCCCTTCAGAAACACGCATTCTTTTCCCCTCCACTTCCACTAAAACCATGGTTTATCCGTGAGCTTATAATTCTGAGATCACCTACTTGTAACAGAGTTCTCCTGATTTAAATGATGATATAACAAACAGCGTGTTATACTAGATCTACCTAGCACACACACAGGTTCAGAAGGAAAAGGCTTTGACTACTCACACCAACCTTCCTTGATCTCCTTGCCAACTAGAACCCTACAGCAGCTCTAGAAGGCAGTCAAACCCAGAGAAGGGGTGCAGGCAGTTTTATGTTGCCTGCAAGCAGCACTGATACATGCTGGCACTATACAGGTACAATGCTGGCAGGTACAGTGGTCACTATCCATAACCAGTATAGATGACCTGGAACACAATTCAATTATGGGAACCCTTTAAAAGGCATTCCAATCATAAGGAAGAGAAGCTCCACCATGCCTAGGTCATGGAGGATAAAAGACTAACAGTTTGACCCTGAACAGGCATACCTGCTGAGTTGTACCAGCCTTGCCCCTTCTCCTCTCTGAGCCTCACCTGAAGAGCTCAGCAAAATCCTGCATGGCCATCAGGACATTGTTACACACTAAATATTAAGTAGCATCTGCAATGCAACAGAATAGCAAACCAAACTTCCTACTCATCTGAAAATCACTGTCACCTTTCACATTAGAATGCACTAATGTTGCAAATGTACCTTCAACACTTCTGTATCATGCCTGTAAGAGGGGATAGCAAGCTGTTGGAAGTCAATAAGCCTTACACCCTTTCCCATTAAGAAAAGAGTGCCAGAGCAGCACAGCAGAAAAGTCTCATTGCTGGGAGTGAGGCTTATTGCTGTCATGGGCCTTGCTGCTAAACACAGGTGCACCTGCTCACTTCTAAATACAGACTGCCACTGAAAGGGACTGTCTTGGGTGACACACACACACGCACACCCCACTGCTTTCCACACCCCAGCCCACAGGCAGGCAGCTCCAGGACACATCACAAGTTTAAAACAGTAATTGAACATTCCTACTCTACCTCCCATGCTCCAAATGAAAAACATACAACAGGGACTGTCTCCTTCAGGGGCAGTCTGCAGTCACACCACAGAAATGAAAAACATACAACAGGGAACCAGCAGGACTGTCTCCTTCAGGGGCAGTCTGCAGTCATACCACATCAAGTTTACCAAACGATACCCAAAGACATTTGACAGCTAGCCTTCCTCCACTACACCAAACAGCTCGTTTTCATAAGGACTAGGGGAAGAGGAGGCATTGCCCCCACAACAAATAAATCATTTACTAGCCTCACAGTCATTAGCTAATGTAAGAAAGGCAAGACACGTTCCAGAGGAGAGGAAGGAACACTGCGAAACCCCAACAGGAACTGCTATTGACAGACTAGACCACATTATTTGCTCTACAGTCCAGAGAAACTCAAGGTGCCCTTGACCAAATTTACTTTTTCAAAGTCAGGGCTGAGCTGACATCACATGACCAGTTTAAAAATACTACCACGTGATAACACCATACAGAAATTAAGTGATAAGAAATCCCTACAGGTGACAGCTGCAGCAAGCTTATACAGCAAATTCAGCCAGATCTGCTAATACCACTGCCCAGTGCACAGGCACATCTGACTCAGATCTTAAGCAAGCTCAATTATTAGAGGTACAAATACTTTAAGAACACCACAGGGGCTAGCAACTTTTTTGAAGAGATTTTAGATGGTCATCTGGTCTAAAAAGATTATCAACATGATAATACAAACTGCTCCTGAATCTAAATTTCAGCATACTTAAAGATTTTTAGGCATACAGTCTTTAGGGGAATTTAAAAAATACTCCCAAATACCTGGTACTGACAAGTGTAATGACTCAAGTTCATCATCAACCTCGCTCTTGGTACATAAAAGCTATTTTATTAATCAGCTATGGTTGCAGTGCAAGACCTTCAATATCAAGACAAGAATATTTAACATTCATTTCAATTTTTCAATTCTAGTCTCTGTCTAAAGACACAGATTAGACTCAAGTCCAGCACAACAAAAAAAAAAAAAATTTAATTATACTGCTTCAGAGTAACATTTTTTCATATCATTTCCACTAATTAGGCTGAAAAGGTGTCACATGAAAGTCTTGTCATCACAAAGACAGCGTAAGTGTTTTTCTGGTTTATTTTGTTCACTGTCCCTTCTGCTGTCTGTAGTAGTCACTGGTTGAAATGACACAGCTCCTAGTTGAGAGAAACCAAATACTCTAAATATAATGGCCTAAAAATAATTATGCATTTAGAAAAGTAAGGGGACCTTAATTAAGCAAGAACCTTAAGAAAAAGAAATCTTCTGAAAAAAACCTGTAATGCTACAGTTCAAGGTACACATTGATTTTCCCCATTTCCTAATATTGTTAATTGCTTCTACACTGGTGTATAAGGACAAGCCTAGCAGTCCTGAATTGTTGGCATTCTTGCCTTCAAATATTAGCATACCTTCAGTCACATTATTTTTCCAAGTGTGTTACTTCAGATGCCACGCCAAGACAATCCTCCAGAAGGAAAGTTTTTCTTGGCTTACAACTGTAAATTGAGATTACTACTGCACAGCTCCCAAGATGAGGATTTACTATTCTCTGCAGGCCTTAAAGGCCCATCTTTTTCCAGGGTCTGAAGTTCTTCCCCCCATGCCAGGTCATCTACCAATCATGCTGCCACTGTTACAGAGTTTTGTTTCCACAAACAGCTTTTGACTAGCCTAGCTCCTGAGTGTTTTAACAGGCCCATTACCACCCCCACTATGAAAAACATTAACAGTTGTTTCATAATTATAACGTGTTCAGGCCAGTATGCAACTTTCCCAAGCTCACAATCATTTATTAAGCCTTTTGGGATACACTCAAAGTAGTGTCCAATCTTGCTTGACAAGTATCCTGCAAAAGCAACTTCTTTTTTGGTTTAGAAAGAAAAACATGCTATTAAAGCAGTGACAGGTTATACCAAGAGAAGTACCATTGTTAGTAGCAGCTAAAAGAAGAGGGCAGCTTAAAAACCCAAATGTCAGTATTGCAGTAAGATGTCGAAAAGAAAACATGCACCATACTACTTACCTCTTCATTTGGATCATACACAGATGAATAGAATTTATGTGAAGTTATAAGGCACCATCTTGAACACAGTGTTTCCCACTACAGAAGAAACAGGGAGTTAAGCCTGTTACAGTATGTCATTCCATAAAAACACTTCATACACTGACATCTCAAGGAAACTTACATACTCTTTCATTCCCTCACCAAGTGGATTAAAGCTCATAGACAACTGCCCTTCTCCAAGCAAACACCCACAAACAGTAACCAGAAAAAATTCAGAAGCTCTAGGTACGAGGTCATCAGCTTAAGCATAACTTTTTTTATAATATACTCTCTACTATACCATCTTCTTTCCCTCTTGTTCTAAGAAATACCTACAAGAAAATCTCAAAAGAGCATGCATGCATATGTCTGTACACCATGTTGATGGGGAGAAGCCTTCACTGCTGGGGAACTGTTGGGCATACAGCAGGCAGTAGACTGTGCCCATACACAAGGGAGAAGTAGAACAGACTTCAGATGCTAAGCTCTGAGTGTTCCCTATCCCAGGCTCCGGACAGCAGTCTGAGAAAAAGAGGTCTTTTTCCCTTAGACTTCTGCTCTGAACCAACTTCTACACAGACATTTCCTATAGCTTGACATTTTTGCACAACACAGGAAAAAGTGGTATACACACACTATTTCAAAGAAAACACAATGGATTATATCATAGATTTGTAAGTTAATCAAAAAGAAGACTCCGATGGATATTACTTAAGGAAGTCATTTCACAACATAATGGCAGTTAGCCATAAACAAAAATAATCATATAGATAAAATGATACCACATTAAAGATGCATCAATATAGACAGCTCTGGCAAAGTCTTAATCACCCACTTGGAAACAAAAACACTATAAAAAGCCTTAATAATAGATATTGTCTAGTAGGAAGCACAAAACAGCAGTGACAGAACTGCCAGAACTCAGAATCCGTCAATTCCATCTTACAGAACTGTTTTCAAAAGTTGCAGAAATCTGAGGAAGTAGTAGAAAGTAAAGGCTGTCCTGTGAAAAGATTGGAAAAAGATACAAATATGATCTACATCAGAAAAATAGTACAAAAAATAAGGAAACATATGTTCAAATAAAGAGCTTAGAGAATTCAGTTGCACCTTCCACAAGGGTAGTGAACTTAAGACAGTTCAAAAATTGATCAAAATTTAAGTTTACTGTAAGCTCATACTGATTTTGAAGTAATAGTGGCCATCAGTAACTGGAATGTGAACACTCCCTATACAGCCCTCTAGCCTGATTAAGCTTGAAAATACTTCTCATGTTGCATCACAGAAAGCAGAAACCAGCCAAGGATTGAGAAGGCCATCACATTTGTAATGCAGCTGATCTTTTAATGTTATAAAAGCAAAACAATATATTTCAACACAAGTAAAGGAAGCCTTAGAGCCATACCATCTCTTGCCAGCTCCAACCACACTTCATGAACAGAAAGCTGCTATAATTACATAAACAGTTTAGTTGCCAGTTACTAGTGGCAGACATAGCATACACTGTTCCTAGATAATCCACCTATGCTTAATTCTTCCAAACGATTCACATGGTTTAATTTTTCTCAAACTAAAGGTTAGTGGAAAGCAACAGTTTCAAAGTTTAGTTGTCAGTTACTAGTGGCAGACATAGCATACACTGTTCCTAGATAATCCACCTATGCTTAATTCTTCCAAACGATTCACATGGTTTAATTTTTCTCAAACTAAAAAAGGTTAGTGGAAAGCAACAGTTTCACACAACTGTTTCCCATTCAGTTTTGTTTGTTTTGGTGGGGGTTTTTGCTTCTTTTATTTCTTTCACTTCGTTCCTCAAAGATAAAATCCAAATCAACCTGAAACACAAATCATTTGATATGCTAGAATCAAATCCGCTAGAGGTTTCTTTGGTTTTTTGGTCTGGTTTTTTTTGCAGGAGTATATTATTCTTCATCTGAGGGTGTGACAGTACAATCTGTTTCAGGCACTAAAGAGATGGAGTAAAGGACAGAATTCTGCAAGCTGCAATCACACCTGCCAGCTGATCATTATCTCAAGTTTACAGCAAAATTGTTACATCTTCAATGACTGTACTGTGATCTAGATATAGTGAGAGGGCAGAGGAAGGATATGTAGAGAGGCAGCAGAGTACACTCTTCGGCTCCAGAGTACACATGGTTAAGCAGACTGAGTCCCCCTCCTCAGAAACACTGTTAACAGAAGTGCTTGAGAGACCACAAATAGTCTAAAGAAGGTCATACAGGACACACACAAACTCTCCACGAGTTAATGTTATTCACTGGAGAAAGTGCTTTTTAAGGGTCAGTGGGGCTAATCTAAGTACTTGCAGTTAGAAAAGCTTCTGAACTTTCTTGTAAATACCTTTCATACAAAACTAGTTTTGGGTGCCCGTGAGAAGCCAGAAGAGCTATGTACAGGAAACTGGAAGGAAAGGCTATGATGGGGGAAATTAGTTATCATTAAACTTAGCCATCTTGGAGGGAGGCGGGGGGAAGGAAAAAAAAAAAAGGCCCTGTTAAAACTTTTTATGCAGAAAGAACAAAATTACCAAGGAATTAAAAAAACTTTAAACCATACTCAGCTCTGGTTTTAAACTATAGAATTGGACAGATTCCATATAAAAATCTTGTAATGGCCTAACCTAATTATGTACCCATGTTTAAAAAATTTAACTGCCTCCTCTCATACACACAAGCAAATCACTGAGAAAGCCAGGTTCAGCTCTGAATCGAGTACTTGTGGGGCAATTTCCTAAAACAAATCAAGCATATTGCCCAACTCAGATGTTAAGTCTCAACTCTAGTTCACAGCTTTTAAAAGAAGGGTTTCTATATGTCTCTATACCAATATACACTAAGGTTTAAGAGCTTGTATCCACTTTAAGAAATATGTCTTTAGAGGTCTGCCCTAGCCAATATGAGCAATTGAATAATTACTTTAAAATAAACAAGCATTTTGTACATAATGCATACCTAAGGCCACAGTAAGGAATGTTACTAAATTGCATCTCCAACCCCACAGCTATGCAGGTATCATCATCAACCCCCAGGCCCCCAAGCTCCTACCACAGGTAGGTTCTTTAAGAGCTACACCAAACCCCCAAAGACCTCTCAAACCAACAACCCAGCAAAGCCAATGTAATTCTCAAGCTACATCCTTAATTGGCTGCCTCCCCAAACCACACATACCCCAGCTATTCTACCTTACACAGACATTTCCTCAGAACACAGCCCAGAGAGTTCAGCTTGACCTAAAGACTTCCTTGTATCTTGTAAAACTAGGAGAGTCATCTGGGATAACCTATTTTTGTCATGATTTGTTACTTCCATTTGATAAAGATTTTGACTCTTGAAAGCCCAAGAATGCAGGCTATTCATTTATGAGAATCTGTCAATCCTGGACTTCTGCATTTGGCTTAGAGTTTCCCACGTATAGCAAATTTTTGGAAAACTTCAAGTATCAGTGGTGTATTTTAGAGAAGCATCCTGCTTTGTCTATTATTAATTGCAAAATAGCCAAACTGACCTACAACAGCTGTAACAGTTATAAAATAACTTCACATTAAAAAAACCCTCAAACTACAGAGTACCTTGTAGAATAGTATGCCCACTGCACACTGTCACTTTGAGACCTCACAGACAAGCTGCCTCCCCTTGGGCACCCAACCCTAGGAAACCTCCTGAGGTGGTTTAAGGACATAGCATACAACAGCAAAACAGAAAATTAACTTATTATTTAGATATGGCTTATATGTGTGTTTTTAAATGTCTACATGCCCTCATGGAGGAAGGAAATCTCCCTGCCATGCTGGTCAGCTTGTAAATAACCCATTGATACTGAGCTTTATAGGCAGAAAAGGTCTCAGTGTTGAAACGGAGACAGAGTTCCAGATTTCAGGCAGGAAAAGCATCATAGATCAATATTTGCTGTAAGAAGTCTAGTATGGGAAGGAATGTGTATTTTAGCATTAGTAGAAAATACAGTAAGCAATACCCAATAGTAACAGCCAGACTAGCACATTTCTTTTCACTATACAAATTCTTCTACCTCTCCTAAGATTTTTGCCCCTACACTTCCAGAGACTCAGGTGTAAGATACAACACAAAGATAAAGGGGTTATTCTCATGGTATCTAGTATTAGCCATCAGTATTCCTGAGTAGTTATAAAACTAACTACAATTATTATTTCTTTTTTCATGTTTTGATTACACAGCAACTGTTCCCAAATCTTTATTTCAACTCCTCTGACAACAATTTCCTGTGAGTGGAACCCTACTCATGGGGTAGGTATAAAGCACTTAAGCAGACACCTCCACATGACTGCAAGACTTTTAATCTATAAGGCTGAAAACACTGCTTCATAATACAATACTGTACAAATCTCGTAAACGGGAAGGGAAACATAACACTTCTATATTTCTTCTCTCTAAGGAAGCACTTTCCCTTCCTTTGTATGCTCAGAGTGATGAACAGCCAAGCCCCTGTAACTGCAAGCAGATTCTCCTGAAGCCATCTGCAAACACAGCTGTGGTACAAGGCTCTGTAAGGCACACTGCACTTCACAGTTCCTTCCCTCTGACCAGGCTGACAAACACCCACGATTCCAAGAACAGGAAATCTCTTCCATATTGGCCAACACAGCATACAAACTACAAACAAGGAAACACTATCCACCTAAGGCTATTTTTTTAAGCTCAATCATTCCTATATGCAGGTAGCTTCTCCTCTGTGCCAGTCCCTAAAGCTTGTATAGTGAAACAGGCATGGGAATGCAACCAGCTGAGAAGCTACTCACAAGGAGTGGGAAAAACATATTCTCAGCCAGATTTCAGTCTAGCTTATCCTAGATAGCCACGCAGTACTGCTGGCACAAGTTGGAGGGAGGCAGGAGCAGCCTGTGATCAAGACCTAGCAGCTGCAGAAAGTTGGAACAGTTTCTAATGGCAGCAGCCTTAAGAGGTCCAGTAAGGCTGGCTGGCACCTGTGAAACAGATCACAGTACTGTAACAATCTATGCAAGCTGGGGACAGACAAAATAAATTAAAACACAGT